ATTAAAGACAGGCAAACATTTAGAACTAAAGTGAAAATAATGTCTGAGGTCTTGATTCTGCTTTGCTTTAAAAATGCTAACGTTTGCCTTGATTCAGTTATTTTAGCTAAATTTATAGAGCAGTACTATAATTGATACCTAATTGGAAATATTTTAGGTTCCATATTCAACAAACTGGAGAACAAAAAATGTTGTGAAAATCCGTTTGACGATTTGTCCTGCTGTCTTCCAGGACCATACACGAGTGGTCAGTCCCATCATCGACGTCATCAGCCTGGACAACTTCGCCTACTTGGCTGCATCTGCAGATCTGAGAGGAGGTCAGGCTTAGATTCTCTGGAATCTCACTCCATCCCTGATCAATTCAAAACATGTTTCAAAATGTTGTAATTTCAAAATAGGATTTCCTACAAGGGGCTTCTCGCCGCTGTTGGTATGAATGGTTGGTTTGTTTAGTTTGAAAGGGTTTAACTGAGTGAAACTGATTGACTAAGCAGAACCATGTTTGCTGCGGTGGAGGTTTGATGTCCACACTGAATGTGAATGTTTTCTCTGTCAGGATTTGACTGGAGTCTTCATTTCAAATGGGAGCAGATTCCCATTGAACAGAAAATGGCAAGGAGTGACCCCACACAGCCAATCAGGTGAGACGATGGGCAGATTGGTTAATGCTACATTTAGTCATGGATGGATGGAACATGGACCAATCAGCTGAGGATTCCATTGGTTGACTATACATTAACAATGTCTCTGATCATACAGTGTATGATCTATGACGTTCAACCTAATCTGATCTAATCTGGGTGGATTAGATAATGAATGGATTAGGTCACCTATGGATGGATGGATGGATGAATGGATGAGAGGATAGGTGGATGAAAAGATGGATTAATAGATGGATGGGTCCGTGGGTGGATGACAGACAGACTCGGGGAGAACTTCCTCTGGTTTTCTCGTTGAAAAGGATTCAACGGTTCCATGACACAGACTTCTCTCTGCAGAACTCCTGTCATCGCCGGTGGGATCTTCGTCATGGACAAGAGCTGGTTCAACCACCTGGGTCAATATGACACTCACATGGACATCTGGGGAGGAGAGAACTTTGGTGAGTTCGATTCATGACCTTCTGTGAGGTTGTCGGCACCAAACCCTGCTGCCAAGGATCAGAAGAAGCTTTTTATTTTGGTTTTATTTTCCTAAAAATTATTATAAATTAAATAAAATATTATAATAGCTTTTTTCTGTGAAACTTATCATCATGATATGATCATATTTTTAAACAAATGATTAAATAAATAAATATCTGATTATTGAAATAGGAAATAATGAGCAAAAATGTTTTTGAATAAAACAAGTATTTTGCTACAGAAACCTTTAAAACCCAAAGAATATCATCGTTATAGATTGTGATAATACTGAGTATAATGTGTTATTTTCAGTTTTTCACTACAGAACACCAGCATGTAACTCATGTTGTTAGTTTAATAAAGAAAAAATGGTTCATAATTTGATTAATTAATGTTACATTTCAGTGAAGTAACCAGGCTCTTCTCAAAGTCCCTCTACTCCACTCTTTTCCTGGAATTCATCTGGTTGTTTGGCAGCAGCAGGTGTTCAGTTGCTCCAGAATTCCACATTCTTTTTGTTTTTTATTGATCCAAAAAAAGAGTCATTCCCTGACCGGGAATCGAACCCGGGCCGCGGCGGTGAGAGCGCCGAATCCTAACCACTAGACCACCAGGGAGCTGTTTGTCAGAGCTACGACAGCTGCTCTGTGTCGCTCCAAGTGCTCTCAGTGTTTACGAGGGTGGAGTGACACATGAGAAGAGCTCTGAGGCAAACACTTGTCCACTGACCCACCGTGAAGACCACGAAGACCACGAAGACTGTGACCTAGTATGTACTGTTTGACCTCCTTCTCCTTCTCCTCCTCTGTGCCTCTGCTCCTGCAGAACTATCTTTCCGGGTGTGGATGTGTGGAGGGAGTCTAGAGATTCTCCCCTGCAGCCGCGTCGGTCACGTGTTCAGGAAGCGACACCCGTACGACTTCCCCGACGGCAACGCTCTCACCTACATCAAGTCAGTGTTGTTTTTCTTACATACTAGTAGTAGTAGTAGTAGTAGTAGTAGTAGTAGTAGTCATCAGATCTGACTGCTAGTGTGTGTCTGTGTGTGTGTGTCTACAGAAACACGCGTCGAGCTGCTGAAGTCTGGATGGACGAGTATAAACAGTACTATTACGCTGCCCGGCCCTCGGCCCAAGGCAAGGCCTTTGGGAGGTGGGTCGGTTTCTGCTCTTCTGCTCAGTAAACAACTGCACAGTAAAAGTCCACATACATTTGTACACTTCCAAAAAATACTACAATAAAACTACAATCCTAATTTGGATCCTTACTTCAACCAATAATTTAACCATTGAACCTTCTAGAACAGGGGTCTGCCACACGTGGCCCCCGAGCCACGTGCTGCACTTCAGCCTGTTTGCAATGGACCAGATTTAGCCACAGAATCAGGTTGAAACCTATTTTAACCATAGCATCAAATGTTTAGCTTGCTTGCTAACAGCATCTAGAACAGGGGTCTGCCACACGTGGCCCCCGAGCCACGTGCTGCACTTCAGCCTGTTTGCAATGGACCAGATTTAGCCACAGAATCAGGTTGAAACCTATTTTAACCATAGCATCAAATGTTTAGCTTGCTTGCTAACAGCAAAACAACGAGTTGACACACAGCTCCTATCAGGTCACGTCAGGTGTGTAATGTTCAGTGATTAAAGGACTGTGGCCTTTAGGTCACAGTACATGGTTCTGTTGAGTGTAGTACTACATCTGAGAAGCTGTAGTTTCAGAACTGATCATTGGCTTCATGTACACATTTGTATCTCGTGTTTATTTTTTATCAAACAATTGTGTTGTACTTCAGAAATATGATGTTACTGCATTACTGGAATACTTACTATTTAATACTTACACTACTACCATCATTAAAATGGTCGACATTTCCCATCATCCTTGAACGTCTCTCGTCTTACGCCACATTGTTTTCTTTCTGTAGCATCGCTGATCGCCTGAATCTGCGGCGGAAGCTGAACTGTAAATCGTTCCGCTGGTACATGGAGAACGTTTATCCTGAGCTCAGGTACGACATCACCTCACTAACATCAGAGATTAGGATTAAATAATCCAGCGGTTCGTCAGTCGGTCAGTACGTTTTTACACATCCAGTCATTTCCCGCCCCAGTCTCGGTGTGACCGGTTTCACCAGTTGGTTGTTTTTCCATTTGATGAATTCAGTGGGAGATGTTTCTGAGACAGATGTTCCCACAGCAGCAGCAGGACAAAGTCCAGAGCCTCCAGTCAGAGTGGTCCAACCTGCCCAGGAGCAGAGACTGCTGCTAAATAATGAATTATCACAGTACATTTTCTATATCTGAGAAATTGGACAGAGGAGCTGGAAAAGATTAGGAGAGTGTCCCGAGCAACGGTCCGTGGTTGTCTCTCTCTCATACAGACAGTCTGGACAGTGTCAGCGTGAGCGGGAGTTTGGTCCATGTGTAAAAGCAGCTTCTGACTGGAAGAAAATGTGGAATTCCTTTTGGAAATGATGAGTCGGCACAGTTGTTTTGTTGGTGAGTTCATGACTGATGCAGAGCCGGGTCAGTGTAGGAGGTTATCCATGTTGACACTAAAGGGAAAAAGATGTTGGCTTTATGTAACCTTATATATTTGATATATTTTTAGGTTGACTTTTAACATAGGAACAAATAAAAAACACAACCATAGGAGAAAATAACACTATATTAAAGTGAATAATACATAATACACCATGTGTACACAACTACACATAATTTACATTTAAATTTAATACATTAAATTATAAGTAAATAATAGTAAGAATAATATATTAGTTTATCAAATGTTTACTTTCTTTCTTTTTACTGTCTTTCTGTCAGCCAAATACATTTTTACTTTCTTTCTTTTTACTCTCTTTCTGTCAGCCAAATACACACTGTACAGTGAAGTACCACTGCAACTGGTTCATCAGTTTCCATACTGTATATCACTGCAGTATTTAGACCCACCTACTCTACTCCAATCAATAAAGTACATCTTTCTACCTACAGTATGTGTTTATACTACTGATCATATCGTGAAGTACCACTAGAGGTTTGCATACCATAGTTTGAGAACCGCTGTTATGATATATGATACGTGTGGCGTTAAAGAGAGTTGGTGAAAATAGGAGACGTTTGCTGCTGGACATGGTTCCACCAGAGAAGATCCATGAACGTAGTGACGGAGAACATGGAGATGTTCTCAGGTCAACACAACTGTGTTTCTACAGCCTGTTTAAGAAGAACAGATGTTGAAGGGATGAGGAGAGACGGAGGAGGACGGTCCATCAGGACAATAGTCTTCTTCCTCCTTTTCTTTTACCTCCTACCATAAGAGAGACTCGCCTGCTGCTCCTCGGCTCCTCCAGCAGCTCCTCCTCTCTGGCTGTTTCCACTCTACAGCTCCTGTCCAAATAACTCTGCTCTTTTAAACTGTAACTGTATATTTCTGTAATGGGCCTTATTACTCCATGGTGCGGCTCAGTGCCCCGGCAGGTTGAATAGTCGCCTCTCATTCACCTCCCTCTACCTTCTCCTCTCTCTGTCAATGGGGGCTCCTCAGGGTCCCGGAGCAGGAAGCCGTGTCCAGTGTTCTGAAACAAGGAAGTTTGTGTCTGGAGGCGCATGGGATCGACGGCCTGATCCTGGCGGAGTGCAGGGGCGCTGGAGTCACCAGACCACAGTCACAGGTCAGAGACAGGAACACGGCCGTCAATCCATCTCCTCAGCTCCAGAGTGTCCTCCTCCCCCCTCCTCACCTGGACATATTTATTTATGTCTTTGTAACCCCAGAGTGTTAACCTGTATTAAAACCTATTGGCAGTGGTCTTTGGCTGCTCTGGTTTCAGCAGGTCTACAGACTGTGTGTGTGTGTGTGTGTGTGTGTGTGTGCAGTAGATTCATGTGTCAGAGCAGGACTGAGGAGAAACATCACATGTGTTTTCAACCAGAGCATGTAAGAAAAAACTTGGATCACTCCTCCTTCCAGGAAGATTGGTGACATCAGACTGAGTCCGAGTCCATCAGCTGAATACAGATGTACTGCCGTCTGATTGACAGTCTGGAATTCTGCTGAAGCTCAAAGCTGGACTGGATCAGTTTCTGCGTCAAACCTTAGTTTGGCTGTTTAACCACAGACGAGGCAGCAGAAAAACAACTGATTTTCTTTTTTTAGCTCCCAGATCGTAATAATGCCACTCATGATTATCTCACTGTGTTCTGCAGAGGTGGGAGCTGATAGAACCACAGATCAGACAGCAGGAACTCTGTTTGTCCATCTCTGCCTTTTCCTCTGGGTCAAAGGTCAGGATGGAGGCCTGCAACGTAAAAGAGCCCAGACAGGTAAGAAAAAAAAACCCTTTTACTTCTCATAAGAAGGACCAAAGAAAGAAAGAAGAAATATATGTTTGCTCTCTTGTCCTACGTTAGGTTAGCTCCCTGGTATTTCCTAACGTGGCCCGTATTTTTGCCTTTTTTTATTTTATTTTATTTTTATTTACATTCGGGCAACCCGGTTCTTTTTTATCCTAAATCTAATGTTTAATTATTTAACTATCTGTGTGCTGGCCACTGGTTTACAGACTTACCTTTACATTTATATCCTGCAGTTTTTAAAAAGATCAATTTTTAAAGTACAATAAACCTTGTTTATGTTGCAGAAAAACTATAGAAAAACTATAGAACACGTATTTTGAGTGTGTTTATAGAAGACTACACCAAAGAGCGTACATGAGTTATATCTGCACTGCAGCAAATATATAAGAAGAATTTATTTCCATTATACAGTTGATATAGTGACGTCACTGGTGTGGAACCCCAGGGTTCACCTCCTGGGACAGTTGACATAGTATATATGTATGTATAAATATACAAACTGTACAATACTCACATACTCATTCATACTCATTTATATGTGTAAAAAGGTTTGTAGCTAATTGATACAGATACCACTACGTTAGCGTTGTTCCTACGTCGTGTGTACTTGTACTTCAGAGACCGTTTTACAGTTTGTTAAAGGGTATTTTGCCAGAAACCCTCACCAGTATCTGAGCCTGCTCTGGAGTGATGACGTCAGCTCACAGATGGAGGATTCCAGGCGTTTCTCTAACACCATCAGTCATGTCAACAGCTCATCTTAGTTTTGTCAATTCCTTTTTTTTTGGTTGGAATTGAGCAGATTAGTCGTTTCTCAACACTGATAGATTTAGAGATTTGACGTTTCTTCTGGCTGAGACCAGAGCTGAGCAGCCGGTCTGCTGCACACCACGATGAGGACGCTGAACAGAAACACAGTGGTTTTTATAGATGCAGCTTCTGTCAGAGGAAGAGGTTTTATACATGTTGTAGAAGTTCCTTCCTCCTCCTCCTCCTCCTCCTCGTCCTCCTCCTCCTCTCTGTTCGGTGAATGCTGAACACTCTCAGTGTCCTGTGGATCAGAGTTGGCAGCGTGGACGACAGAGAAGACAGAGTTATTAACTGGAACCATGTGTGAGCCACCACTGCAGTCCTGAGGCAGTTCACTGGGAGTCCGCCAGTGAACAAGTCCTTCATCTCTGCTGTGGGAGATGTTGGACTCAAGTGTCGTCAGGTTCAGTCTCCAAAAAAGGAGAAAAGAGTTTGTTTTTGTGTTTCTGATTTTGTCCCTGTTCAGACCGTTAGATGTTTGATGTGATTTGATGTTGGATTTGACAGAAAACAGACTTTTAGGCATGTTTCAGTGGAGACACGACTTTTATTAACAGTCAGGAACTGATCTGGAACTGTTTTGTTTTTCATTTATGGTCTATTTTTAGAGTTGTTCTTTATTGGCTTAATCCTGAAAGAATCGTATGGGTGGACTACAATAATCCCAGTTAGGGATTCTGGTGAATCTGACTGAACTAGAAATGTTTAGTTGTTTGGTTTAGTTATTCCATGGGTCCATAGTGTAGTGGTTATCACTTCTGCCGTACACACAGAGGAGTCCTGGGTTCAAGCCCCAGAGAAGCCATGTACTTGGTGCATTTATGATTCACTATTTTTTGCTCTTTAAAGTAAAACTTGTTGTTTTCAAACTAACTGTCACTGAGCTTTTTTCTAAGCTAATCACCATCAGAGTTTAATGCTACATTTAATTGTTTTTTTTTTTGCGATTTTTCACATTTGGGCAAACACTAGATTATTGACTAATGTTTATGTCTATTGTAGGCTATCAACGTTTTTGGCATTATTATCCTTTGTGGGCTTTTGACCTGCTCTGGTTATACTTAACTAATGTAAAGAATTTCTAGGCTAATTCTTTGGGTTTTTTTATTTAAATGTGTAGAAGAATATTTTGAATTTCCACAATGACGCCTGTGTGGAGTTCATCCAGAGTTTAAGACAAAAGCCTTTTTCAGTCATTTTTCAGTTGTCATAGTTATTTTTGCTGACTATGTAGGGTCATGTGCCTGCCTTCATTTTCCTAGCTTATCTTTTTCTTTTTTTTTCTTTTTTTCTTTAAGTTTTCTATATTTTATACTGAGTGATTATTGTGGCCTTTCTTTTCTGTTCTATTCCACCACATCCTCACTCCAGTGTGACTCTGACTTTCTTACTCCCTGTTTTAATTAACAAGCCTTTAACTTCACCACAGTACATTAGATACACTGATTTATGGAGTTTATGAGGAACACGTGCTTTTAACGCTCGTTATTTTGGTATAAACTTTGTGTGTCTCACAGCGTCCTCAGAGAAATCAAAGACATGGTTTGAAAAAAGAAAGTAAAAATAGAAGAAAAAATAAAGTTTTCAGCATCATGTAAAATAGTTGAGAAAGAAGTTGGAAAAAAGAGCACAGCCAATATTTGATGTTTTATTATGATCCTTTAAACTTACAGAAACAGAAATTTACATGTGTAATTAAATATGTAAATAATTAATGGACATACCTGTAAACACTGGGCTGTTACGCTGGACATGTGCTCTGGTTTTTAAAGAATGAAAAATCTGGAATATTATCAAAGAAATGTATCATCCAATTCATCAACTACAGACTCTGCACCAGTTGATTCATTCAGCCAGGACATTTAAATCCCTATTTAAACAACTCAAATGTTTCTGAATAAAAAGTAGAAACATGCAATAAAAAAAAAACTTTATTTGTTTTGCATTTCAAATATTAAAGTGAAAGAATTGCAGTTTGTTGCTCTTCACCCGTGCAGAGTGAACAGATGGAGACCAAACACGGGGGGCTCTCAGAACAAATAGTTCCTTCTGTTGTGTGATGGCAGTCTGCCGTACACTGCATCACACCGCACTGTGATTTTAGTTTCCACTGAGAGCAGCGGCGGCAGCAGCAGTGGATCAATCATTCATGAGATTACTGTAATCCAGGTCTGACTCGCTCCATTACTCACTACCAACATCAACCACGTGTTTATGTGCAGAGAAGGTGACAGACCACAGCAGGGCGTCCAGGCTTTCTCCTGGTTCTTCTTCTCTCTACAATGGAAAAAAAACCTCTTTAACAGAGACATTTGTTAGAAAAGGCTGCGTCATGTTGTACCAGTGAACTCATTTATTTAAAAAATTAATGAGCGTCTGGAGGACAGTTGTCTTTTTCTGGAGGGGTTGGTTTCAGCAGTCGTTCCTTTCATCTATCCAGACTGATGTATCCATTAGCTGTTCTCGTTGCTTGTTGTGATGTGGGACACAGATCGTGAGAGTGTTCCTTTTTATGATATTAAAAGTTGTCGGAGGAGCATTATCTATTTAGAGCCTCACTGCACATGATCACTCAGTCTCCAGGACTAAACGCTAATATTAAAGCTCATTTTCTCATAGTCATTACTCCACCTACTGGTGGCAGAAGATATAATCACCACAGAAAATATATTTTAGACATCTAACTATGCTCAAACATTTTTTGTCCAAAAGCAAGAATTCGGTAAAAGATTAAAATTCTGCGGTTTGTAACAATGGATGTGGCAAAAATGCTCAACAGCGCCCCCCACTATCAGACTGTCTTAGGCCTATCTTATTATCTTAGTAAAAACACTTTACTTTAGACTGTTGTGTCCTGTCTTCTGTGAGTGGAATTACATTTTTATAATTGAAAACAATAACTCATATATATATATACCTTAGTGCTAAAAGTAATTAATTAAATTGTTGTTCAAAAGCAAATATAATCAACAATTTCAAAATCTCTCTCTCTCTTTTTCTCTCTCTCTTTCTGCAGAGGTGGAAGCCCAGAGGTTCCTCCCTACAGCACATGGTCAGCGGCCTCTGTCTGGACAGCCTGTCCCAAGCAGGACCCCCGGTTATATCTCAATGTCGCCCCCACGTGGCCAGCCAGTCCTGGGAGCCACAGCTCATCGCCTGAGCCACACATACATGACAAAGTTGAAGGGAGGGAGAAATGGAGGGGGAAGAGGGAGGGAAGGGTTCCTGGAGTGTGAGGAGGAGCTGATCCTGCAGCCAGACTTTAGAAGGACTCAGGATGACATCACATCACTGCAACACTGTCGTCTTCGCTGAAGGACGGAGGGAGTGAAAACGGAACTTTTTACAGCCTTCACTGTGACTGAGACATGTCAAAGTTCTCTCTCTCTCTCTCTCTCAGAGAAAACGGGGGGAAATGACAAAAACAAAAGTGAGGTATTTTCTTGTACAGTGTTTCATCCTGCAAGGACGCTGCAGATCTTCTACGTAACCCTAAGCTTTTCACTGATAACCGCGGCACATCCTGATTCATTTCTATTACTATATCTTCATCCTGCTCCACTGTTTGCTTCACATTTCACAAAGTTGTGGAAACAGCTTCGCGGCTGAGCGCCAGTCGTACTGATTATGTAGCAGATGCATCGAGGTGCAGCACCTGAGCTGCTCTGAGTCAAAGTCCGGGGTGGAGGCGTGTGTGATGAGTGTGTGTGTGTGGCCCAGGCCAGCTTTATGTACAGTCAACACAAAGACACCATGCAGAGCTGTGTCAGGAACGCTATTTATTGTTTTTGCATGGTCAGACCCAAAGAATGTTTCCTTGTTTTTCTTGTCTTTTCTCTCTTTCTCTCTCCATAAAGTTTAATGTAAATATTTAAATGACTAATGGCTTGTTTTATGTGTAAAGTAATCTATATGTTGTTTGAAAAATAAAATGTGGTAACGGAGAACCGTGTGTGTGGTAATGAGCTGTGGTTTGGTCTTTCATCTTGTTCTTTTTGCTTTGCTTATCTTGCTAAAAAATAAAAAATAAATAAGATGCTGAAAAAACATAGAACATAGTAGAAGAGCAGGAGAGGTACTGTAGATGGTGTGAAGAGTAAAACCTTAGATAAAAAAGACACTCAAACACTATTATATTTGCCAAAACTTCTTGCCAAAAAAGGTCTTAATGGCAAACAGTTTTATAGCTTCAGTTTGTCTTATTTTCTTATTTATTACCTCAACATCTGCTTTGAGGTTTTCCATGGATGGATCTCAAACCGTAAATAAAAGCTTCTTAATCCTTCAGCTTCTTCTTAACTGCTCTCACTGCCTATTTTATACGTCTGTCCCAGCCTGTTATTTTCCACTCCCCCTTCCATAGTATGGTAGATTAGTTAACACTTATCTTTATTCTCACACCATGACTTGAATGTACTCACCCTCCTTGTTTTTCTACACCATATAAAAAATGTTATGTTACTTTGGAAGCAGTTGTTACATAAATTATGTTGAAATGTTTTTTCCCACAAATTAGGAACATTTCATTATTTGCTTATTCATAAATTTAGCAGATAATATGAATAAAATGATCAAATAATCCAGGAAATCACCCAAAATGCTATTGACCTTTTAATAGACAAAATGATACTCACTGGTAAAAAGTACTTATTTTCAAGTATACAGTTGTTGTTGAATACATTCAAGTTGGTAAATTACATTGTGTGTCAGCCCTCAGGTAAATAAAGCATTGCTTGGCAGAAAAAGGCAACCGATTTTACAGCACATGACATTTTGTGTTGAACTTTTTTTCTTTTTTCTTTCGACCGCATTGAATTAGTGGCCACAGGGGGGCGGAATGACCTAACATATGTGTGACAGACGACACGGCAGCACTTTTCTACTCCTGACCTTGACAGGTTGATAGATTAGAGTTAATGAACACAGCAGTCGTAAAAGGAGAATGGGTTGGTGATTGTTGGCATTAAAGGGGCAGGAGCCAGCGTTTGTACACGTGACAGACTTACGGCTGCCGCAAAGAAAAACACTGGCATGACAACCATCATCAGCACAACAGGCTGGACAGCTTTCTTACAACAGCTCCTTTTTTTCTCTCCTTCCCTCCTTTGTTGCTTTGATAACCCTCCACTTTGTCCTTTGGCTGCAGATTAGTTTGCTTCAGAAGTATGTGAGGAATGTGACTTATTGCTGATAAACTTTAGACTTTTCAGGACCGCCATGGTTTCATCATTGTCGTGCTGCTGAAATGGGATTTTGACAAACGAGATATAGTCTGTGTACGTAATGTTGTTTTTTGTTTTGTTGTTGTTTATTTAGAACATCGTATGGATCCAAGCCACGTATGGCACTTTGGCAACAGGTCTTAGATTATTGTTATCATTATTACAAATGTATTGGTCAGAATAATCTGGTACAGTAAAATGAGTCATGATAAATTCTAATCTTTGAAAAACTAACTGTCAGCATGAAAAAAAAGTCATGTTGCAAACAACAGGAAGCCTTTTCTGAAGGTATGCGTTTCAGCCAGATATGAAACTAATGTGGGGCTAACTCATTGGAGAGAGAGATACCACAAAAAAACGTATTGTCAGAATAAGCCTTATTTTCTATTGATGTTATTGTTTTATCTATTAAGAGAATGCCTGTAAGCATTTCTCATACAAAACATAAAAAAGGAAAGAAAGATACAAGGTTAGATGAAGAAAGAGCAAATACAGATAAATGTTGCATCACATCTAATACTATTAATGAACCAAGGTTCTAAACTGTTCTTCAGGCCCAGGGCCGTCAACCTCATGAAGAGATCCAAGAGGAACCCCTACTATGGATATTATATGAAATTGTGTTTTAAAAACAGTTTTTTAAGATTTTAATAATTACAACTCCCAAATACTGGCTTAAATGGCACATCCCTGCTTCATTAGCACTACCTCTAAAGCTCGGCAGTGGGCCGCGGCACGCTCCGTTGGGACGCTCCAAGATCTATCGATCAAATCCACGCTGTAGAATCCAGCCAATCAGAATTATTGTAGGCGGTCCGTTGCTAAGGAGGAGGTTTGGTTGATCGTGAGCGTAGCAGCCATTCACATTCAGCAGCAGCACAAACTGAGGTTGAGGCGTTTGGACCGAAGGGAAGATACATACACCGCCTGTGCTTTCTGTGGAATTCCAATTTTTCATATTGTTTTTTAAGCCCGTCACGGTTGTTGATAAGGACGTGACGGCGTCAGCGGGGCGTCTTCTGGGTCTCAGCGGTGGTTACAGGTAAATACAGCAAAAATGTGACGGTTATTTGTAAAATTAGCAGTGGTGGTGGCTGTTTGTTAGCTTCACTGTTAGCAGCGATGTTAGCGTGTGTGTGTGTTTTTCTGATGCAGCTGCAGCTACAACTACGTTAGCTTCACGGATATCAGACCAGTGGTCGATACACACACGCACACGGTTTAGCTCGCTATCGTAACAGCAGTCGGCAGTCATTGTAAGGCGTTTAAATGATCTGTGAGCTTGTTGATTTTTCCTGGTTGAGGCTGGAAAACCCTGGAAAGTCATCGTTCTGTCTGAGCTAAGCTAACATCATATCAATGAGCCAACGTTAAACTACATTTTAGAAACAAAGGTGACTAAAAATTGACTTAAAGATTATATAACTGGGTACATTTAAAAGCTGGTCATTATTAACTTAGTTGTAACAAATAATATAACCATAAGACTGAAGTCAGAATGTAGAAAATAGCCTGACTTTTTATTATAGAATGTATTATAGAATGTAAAAAAACTGTAAAAAAAACTGACAATACAATAAACCATAAGACATTTTAATTAGACTTATGTTAATATTGCTAATTTAGGATTTATGATATCGTGGTCTTTGACATTTTTGTGCCAGTTTTGAGTATAGATAATGACAATAGTTGGGTCAGAAAGGGAATTATACCTACTTATACCTGTATAAACAGATCATGATTTGATGAAAACAAGATTTCCTCTAGAGTTCTCAATTTTTTTTCCCTATCTTAAAAATAAACATACAGCTACATTTCCTTTGCCCTGCTAAAACGATGAATGGTTTTAATCATAGGCAGCCGTTTTGATCATAAATTCGGGGCACACTACGTACAGGTTGATGTAAATTGTTCAGAAGTATTTATGAAATGTGATAATGTGTGTGACCTAGATTCTCTCCTTTAGATTGTGGTATTTAGTCCTTTGGAAATCACAGCGTACAGCATTTCCATATTGGTCTGTCATCCTGATCAGATAAACATCTGAGCTCCTGTTACCTTGCCCATGTGGACTTGGATACTTGGATAATCACATGACATATTGTATGACATCCATAGCAGCTCATACGTTTAGATGAATTATGTTGTTTACTGGACAACATCCACACCTGGGTGTCTTCAAAAGTCTCAATCTTTAGAGGATGTTATTGAACAATGTGAACTGTGAACAATGATGTTTTGGTTCACACGGTTAATAAAAATGTACATGTCCTTTACCAAAAGGTTGGTTTCTGTTCCCTGTTGGCCAAAGAAAAATGACTGAACTGGGAGTGGTTTCTCCCTCCATAGTTTTGAAGTAACTCATGCTGCAGTTCATCCCACAGTGGTAGGACTGGCCATCTGCCATTCAACCCAAGTCTGTCAGCTGTTTGAGTAAAGGGGGGTGGGATGTGACTAAGGCTCTGCCCAAAGCATTGTGATTCATTCCTTGGGAGAAACTAAATGTTTCTCCCCACAGTTGTCCTTGTGTTGAAAGGAGAACCATTATGACTTGGTTCTATGTAGTGGATGTGAATGTTGACTAGTGATGCAACACTGGTGAGATAACCTTTCTGTGAAGTAACAGCGCAACCAAAGGCCTTCATTTTTGTCCTCTGATAAGATAGTTAATTAGATGTTTCGCTTTTTGAGGTAAGAACGAAACATGTACGCATTAGGGCTCTCAATCCTCCCCTCAAACTGGATTTGAATGTATGAATGTTAAATATTCAAATTATATTTGAATTTTTAAATGTTTTTTTAAAGCTCATTATATAGACCTATACCAGCTTATTATTCAACCTACATCCACAAGGAGGCGCTCCAAATAAAATCAGTTATGTAACATTTGCAACATGTTTTAGGAACATAAATCTTCATGATGGGAAACTGAAACATTTGAAGGCTAGATAAATATGGAAATGTATCTGGTAATATAATATTTGGATATAATAATATTACGTAATATATATACTCTGTATATATATATTTATGATATATAATATCATGTAATTATAATATGATTATCGTGTTCTGGCAAGCAGCTAGCAGGACTTGAGATGAGGTGGGAGGCCAAACAAGGTTATTCTTGCAAGATTTAACCGGGGCTCTTTGTCCTCTGCTAACAGTCCTGTCTACACAGAGTAATCCATTGAATGTAGGTGTGTGCTCAGGTTTCTTGTTTCTTGTCAAGTAGTACTTTAAGTAGTACGTTTCTCTTGGTGTCATTTACCTGTTTTTTGATGGAACTCTAAACACTTTCAACGTGATGCTTTTTGGGTCTTGAGGAGTTGTGGTTTCCAGCTCTGGTGCTAATGTGCTGCTTAGTACAACATTGATTTGCATCATTGCGACGGCACAAGTTTGAACATCAGGTTCCACATAAAATGTTCTCATTTTTTAAATCCTTTGAACTCTATTCAAATAGCGCAGTACGTTCTGACAGCCCTAATACACAGCTTTGAGTCCAGTAGTTACCAAACAGATGTGAGATAGCAGGCTTTGTAAATTGAGTTGTCTGTGTTTTTACATTTGTCTTGTCCAGTTTAATAAAATAAATGAGAAGAGGAAAAGTAGACAACGACTCTTGTACACCATAGATTCTCTTTTATTCATCTTCTTTATGATTGTGTTCTAAATGGTGGTTTACGTTGATCGATGACATTTGTATTCTTTGCTTTCATTCGTTCAACGTCACAGCTCACTGAGCTCACTAAACATGTAGGCAAGCCAAGCATATTGGGTTTCATGAAAGGTCAGTAGTTGTAGATGTCTGTTTACATCAGGTTATGTAGGGATCTTGAGTTTTTTCCTGAAACGGTTATGACTTCTTGATCTCTTTACAGTAGGTTGAAAGGTTTTTTTTTTAATCTCTCTCTTTTATCTATGTTTTCATTAAGGTGTGTTGAGTTCAGTATAAGAACATTCAACATGTTCTCTTAATGAAGGGTTTGAATTGCCATAAATGTGTTACCTTTGTTCGTAAATGGCGCAAAGTAATGTTATACATTAGCATTGGCAGTGGAATTATATATGAAGTAGACTGTGGTGGAATGGAATTGTTGCCATGACGCTGTATGTCAAAGCAGTAGGCAGTGGCCCGAACAAAATAATAGAATGTTACATTTTTACCCAAGATGGGAATACTTGTTTGAGCAGGCAAGATAAATAATCGTCTTGAATGGACTACCATGGAATAAAGGTGTTATCTGGGTTTATATCATGCCTCAGTACCTAAGCAATATGTACATGCTTTCTACTAATACGTTCTATTTCAGCAGACACCAATCCAACTTGTGGAAATGGCATATTGCTGAAAAAAAACATGCTGCATTTTTAATTTCTTTGATCCAGTTTCCTCTTTCAAACATTAAACCTGGGTAACTGAACAAAAGTGCATCATTATTATACGGTTATAGTAGAGAAGGTATAGACTTTGGGATTAGGCTGCAAATGTGATGTAATAAGATGTGAAATTAGAGGTATGTTTACACAACTGCCAAAAAGTGCCTGAGCCAATAAACATCTGTGTCTAGTCCACAGAGCCATTAGAACCTGGAGTAAACACTGGTTCTGCGGGCCAGTAAAAACCAGATGTTAGCAGGTGATTGGAGTTTTGGCAAGTAGAAAGAAGGAGAAAGGAGGTTTTACAAAGGAGGTGCAAAAAAGACTAAGAGACTAAGATGATGTAAACTCAGGTGCTGTAATAATGTAAGATAATTTAACAATGTGGTTATTGTTTTAGATTAGATGATATAATTTGTTGAAAACACGAACATACACATCACACTCTGTTTTGAGAACATCATAGACATATAAGAGAATGTGAATAAAATCCTGAATACTGTGACAGGGTTGTTGCCAATAATATGGTTGTGCTTTGGTTCACACACGCGCATGAATACTCAAACACAACCAGCTCCATGTTTTGAGCTGAGTGGGACTGAGTCCAGCCGTGGCATTCTGAGAAGACTCGACTTGAGGCCAAGTTTTACAATCAGGATCTCAAATGAGCAGCTGACCTTGTTTCAAAATAAGTGGCCTAAAATAGGTTCAGTGTAATCACTTTGAGTGAACTTGTGACTGTTATGCGTTTGTTTGTAGGCAGTGGAGCAGTTCCTTTAGCTGGTAGGTGTTGATTTTAACAGCAACACAAAAACAATGTGGCAAAGGGGAAAAGTTAGAGGTTTTTATTTGGTTGGGTGGTGGAAACAATCCAATGCAACAAACCGTATGGCGTTTTATTACCTGTGTTGCCATTTGAATCATTACAAAGCACAGTCCAGTGAAACAGGTCAACAACTGCCCCATTATCTATTTTTACATCATGTGTAGTTCATTTTAGCTGTGAGGCATTGGTCTCACTGAATACAAATGTGGAAATCATGTTTTGGAGAATAACTGTAGTTTAACACAATTCTAATAACTAGTAAATTGGTACATTTCACTATGCAGTGTTTGAAAATGTCCGTTTTTAAGACATTATTGTGCTGTGCCATTCCAGCCATTGTGAGGGTTTTTTTTTTGTCACAGCTATAAACATCCTGGAGTGTCATCATTTGGGATAATATCTTTAGAACCTAATGAGTTCCAAGGCGTATTGAACTCTTGTTTTTGGTCCGGCTGTCTAAGGATGAGATCTTCAGAGAGTCACGGGTGTGCGTCAGTGTGTGCAGGGAGTTGCCTTTCAGGTCTGCATCCATGTGGCTCCTCCCTGCATTTGCTGTGGGGCTCAGGGACTCCCTTTGTTTCAGTGGGGCCCTACACAGAGTGATACATGAGCCTCCTGTGCTGGAGAAGCTCATGCTTTATTCAACCCTCTGATCTCTGCTTTAATTACGAATGACCCGGGACACTCAGGCCAGTGAGGCAGTTGACAGGGGAAGAACTTTGTAAGTGCTAATTGTGCCAGTCAGACCCCTGTTAATGTGCAAAGCTCCTAGCAGAGACACATTTTTAGTCTGTTTATAGAACTTGACTTTAACAATATTTACCACAAGTATA